TATAATTTTGTTCTCATTTTAACTAATTTCAAAAGGTCAGCATGAATATTAATATGGAGTGTAATCTTGTTGATGTAATAGATTGAGCTGTTCTCTGAGTCTGGATTTGGTGGGACGTCTGTCCTGCTGCAGGACTCGTTACCCACAATGCCTGGCGGCTTCAGCGTGCGCTCCTGCAGGGTTCATGCCGGAAGGTTCGTTAGATCTGTTCTGTCATCATCAGTCCGTCGGTCTGTGTGTTTCTGCTCTCACACAAGTGTGTGTGTGTGAGTGCAGCTGGCTGGCGTTTAGCCGTGAGAGTTTCTCCGGTCATCAGTGTGTCCTGGAGGAGGGTTTTTATCCTGATCTGTGTACGATGGGTTTCACACAGCCGGACGCATCAGTGCTGTCGCTCCAGCCCACGGGACACGTGAGTCTCCCTCTCCTGCATGAGTCTGCTCCAGCAGCAGTGTGTTCTGTGTTCTGACAGCTGAATGTGTCTGAACTTGCGCGCAGGAGCTCTCGGTGCCGGCAGCGGTGCTGTTCGAGCGCTCTGGACTCAGAGGAAGGAGGACGGTCCTGAAGTCGGGTTCAGTGAATCTACAGCTGACGCACAGCTGCTCCAGAGTCTCATCTGTGCTGGTGCTCGGCGGCATGTGAGGAGCACACACTTCACTCTCCTTCACTCACTCACTCACTCACTCATTCACACACTCACACACTCACTCACTCACTCACTCACTCACTCACTCATTCACTCACTCACACACTCACTCACTCACTCACTCATTCACACACTCACACACTCACTCACTCACTCACTCACTCACTCACTCGTTCACTCACTCACACACTCACTCGTTCACTCACTCACTCACTCACTCTCACTCACTCGTTCACTCACTCACACACTCACTCACTCGTTCACTCACTCTCACTCACTCGTTCATTCATTCACTCACTCACTCATTCACTCACTCACTCACTCACTCATTCACTCACTCAGTCACTCACACACTCACTCACTCACACACTCACACACACACAATAACTAAACAGACATGTATTTATTTATTTATACGATTACGATTTATTATTTAATATTTATGTATTTACTTATTTATATCTTTATTCATTAAATTATTTTTTTCTCTCGTTCATTCATTCACTCACTCACTCATTCACTCACTCACTCACTCACTCATTCACTCACTCATTCACTCACACACACACTCACTCGTTCACTCACTCATTTACTCACTCATTTAGTCACTCACTCGCTCGCTCACTCATTCATTCACTCGCTCACTCGCTCACTCACTCACTCATTCACTCACACTCACTCATTCGTTCACTCACTCACTCACACACTCACTCGTTCACTCACTCATTCACTCACTCACTCATTCATTCACTAATTCACTCACTCACTCATTCACTCATTTACTCACTCAGTCACTCACACTCGCTCGCTCACTCACTCACTCATTCACTCACTCGCTCACACACTCACTCACTCGCTCACTCACTCGTTCACTCACTAATTCACTCACACACTCACTCACTCGTTCATTCACACTCACTCGTTCATTCACTCACTCACTCACTCACTTGTTCATTCACTCATTCATTCATTCACTCACTCACTCACTCACTCACTCATTCACTCACTCATTTCTTCACTCACTCATTCACTCACTCACTCATTTATTCACTCACTCATTTAATCACTCACTCACACACTCACTCATTCACTCACTCACTCACTCATTCATTCATTCATTCACTAACTCACTCACTCACTCACTCGTTCATTCACTCATTCTCTCACTCACTCATTCTTTCACTCACTCACTCACTCACTCGTTCATTCACTCATTCACTCACTCACTGACACTCATTCACTCACTCATTCACTCACTCACTCACTCATTTATTCACTCACTCATTCACTCGCTCACTCACTCATTTATTCACTCACTCACTCATTCAATCACTCACTCACTCATTTATTCACTCACTCACTCATTCAATCATTCACTCACTCATTTATTCACTCACTCATTCACTCACTCACTCACTCATTTATTCACTCACTCACTCATTCAATCACTCACTCACTCACTCATTCAATCACTCACTCATTTATTCACTCACTCACTCACTCACTCATTCAATCATTCACTCACTCACTCACTCACTCATTCAATCATTCAATCACTCACTCATTTATTCACTCACTCACTCACTCATTCACTCACTCACTCACTCACTCGTTCACTTGTTCACTCGTTCATTCAAACACTACTGCAGCGATCATTCATGCTTTCAGGTCTAGAGGTTCACTTTAGTCACCTTTGAGTCATTTTATTACGTGCTTTTGCCATTTTTATTAGTTGATTTATTTATATGTTCTTAAATATTTAGTTTAATTCGTTTTCTTATCAGTTTTAGGTTTAATAATTTGTTTATTTTAGCTTTAGTTTCTTTGCCTAGACAACATTTCTGATTTTCTCATTTTAAGTCTAATATTTATATTTTATTTCAGCTTTATTTCCATTAACAAAACCAATTTTAATAGTTTTAGTTAGTTTAGATTAGTTAGTTTCAAAGTAATTTTGTGATATGCTTTTGGCATTTTTAGTAGTTTTTGTTTTCTTTAAATGTTTCTTTATATTTAAATCTGTAGCTTTATTTTCATTTCAGTTTTAGTAATTTTATTTTATTTTACAGATTTTACAGTTATTTGCCAAAGCAACATTTCTTTTTATTTTTATTTAAATTAAACAATTTTTAATAGTTTTAGTTAGTTTAATTTTAGTTTGCATTTTAAGTAACTTTATTGTGTTCTTTTGTTATTTTTATTAGATTGTTTTTTTATGTTTCTTTGTGTCTTTAAATATTTAGCTTTAATTTATTTTCATTTCAGTTTCAGTATTTTGACTTCTACTTTTTCCGTTACTTGTAGAGGCAGCATTTCTACATATAGTTTTTTTTTAGTTTACTTTTTTCATTTAATATTTATATTTTATTTTATTTCAGATTTATTTCTGTTAGCAAAATAATTTTAATAGTTTTAGTTTTAGCTCACAACAATTTTTTTATATTTTCCATTTTAATTTTAGGTTAATGTTTTAGTCATTTTGTTGCATGTTTTATTTGTTGTTGTTTTTATATTATAGCTTTGTAGTTTTTATAAATTTTTATTTCAGTTTTATTTATTTAAGTACATCAAGTTAAACTACATGAAAATGAGAAATGTTAGCTGTTTTTCATTTTATTTCCATGAATAACTTTTGTATGGTTTTGGTGTTAGTTTTAACGTTTAAACACAACACAACACAACACAACACAACCCTGGTCCCAGTACAGAAGAGCAGATCTCGTTGTGATTTGAATGCACTGCCGCTAGAAACAGAAGCAGGAGAATCTCTGGGCTCTTCAGTGTTTCCAGCGGTTGGTTTGTGAGCGTGTTGCTCCGCTCATGTGCTGCTCATGTTTACCGGTCTCCATGAACACAGTCATCCAGTGTTTATATTCAGCGGATCTGCAGGAAACGAGTGGAAAAACATCAGCGTCACGTCAGATTCAACAGAGTCGTGTGAAAGCCGCTGACGTTCCTCCAAACCCTGTGCTGAACAAGCAGCGCATCCGACACCAAACCATACAATTATATCATCACTGTAAATAATAGAAATGAAGAACATTAATAGAAGTATATATAAAACTAAAAAATGACAAAACAAAATTAATAAAACTATCTAAAATTAAAATGTAATAAAAAATATAGAATATAATAAAATAATAAATATGCATAATACTATTATCATTATCAGCATTATATATTGCATTTATATTAATTATATTTATTATTTTATTAAATTCTGTATTTTTATTACATTTTAATTTTAGATAGTTTTAGTAATTTTTTAGTTTTATATATACTAGTTTTTTATATAGATTTATATATCATTATATATATATATATATATATATATATATATAAAATAATATT